GGTGCGCCTCTTGGAAACAGTTTGGTACATGTGTAGGGACGCATGTATGGACCAACCCCGTGGCGACTAAATTTTGCAATCAAGGTTGGCGGCCACTTGTTGGCTTCAAAATGGTCCTGACGATGAATTTGACATCTGATTTTGATATTTAGCGCGATTTGGCACCAAAAACCGTAGGCGCCAACCCAAATGCAAAATTTAGTCGCCACGGGGGATCGAACCCTTAACAGTACCTTATGCTTCTTTTTTGGTACTGCTATAACCGTTCAGCGAAAATGAAACATGGTTTTGCGTTCCCTACATGCGTCCCTACAATATGCACAAAACCGTTTTGAAAAAGCGCTTGCCCTGAAAGACCTCCCTTGTTAGTTCCTCTGCCTCGTTTGGGCGAAGTGATATGCCACATGCACTCAAGAACGCCTTACCTGTCTAGGAGTGGACTTCACGTCAGTTACCAAGAAGCTTTAAAGCAAATCTTTCTAGGTTCGTCCTTTGACTCTCAATCCCATAAGGAATGAAAATTGACCGGGCAGAGGAATTTTACAGCATTAGGTGGCAGTTCCCTCATGGAGTTTTTCCGCCACTCGATACTGTGGAAGTGCTCCTGGGCATTCAGTGTGCTGAGGGAAAAACCTCAGCTGAAGCGTAATCGAATACGGTATGTCGAAGTCAGTCGATGTAAAAAGTGTTGGAATTGCCTGACAGCATCCATCTACACAATGGAGCCGATGAACTTCTAGGAAACTCCGTTTATCTAATGCAGCAAAACCAGCCTCGCTCCGAGAAACCGCTCTTTCTATTTGCCATCTTTTCCGTGACCGCGTGAGGCGTTTGTTGATTGAAGTCTTTTCTTTTTCAACTGCTTTTATGCCCAGTTTAATCTTGTTACCGTAACAGGTCTAGCACGTTGAAAGCTTTCCCCTTCAGGGAGAAGCGTTTTTACGATTATCAAAAAGGTCATGAGTGATCTAGCATTGCTTCGGAACACAAATGAAAGAAAATCCTCTTAAAGATCCTGGAATTTGCAAGAGATTTGCAATTAGCAGCCATTGGAGGCAGGAAAGATGGATACCTCGCGTTGTGCCCTACATTTCCCGATCACCCTGCCGTTGGTTGGGCTCCACCAATCCCAAATCCCCATTCTTTTCTACTCTTTCCTCCTTCCCGCATGCGTCTTTAATTCCGGATTCTTTAGGAGTGCACATTGTTCAGGCCGGCTTTAGGGGAGAGAAGTCACACGTGAATAGTCACTTGCTTTCATCTTATATCTATCAGCTACCGAAATCATCACGTTATCCGGCAAAAGATGTATCTTATAAGGGTGCTGTGCCAAAGACTGTGCTTTTGGTTCTGTAGTGCAGCAAGACGATATAGCACGACAAATGATGCGTTAGCGGCAAGCGTGCATGCTATGAAGAAATTTCAATGCCTCGAGGACAAAAGTGGCGATTTCCACGGGGTAAAGGGTCATATCATAGCAGACTGGCAGAGCTTGTCCGCTTTCGACGCCCGTTCTCTGCCGGCCACGCGATTCTACACCAGTGCTTGGTCCCATTCTAGTCGTGTCTGCACAGAGAGAGGCAGAGCGTTTCACTGCAGAGTGATGTCAGCACCGGTGATTCCAGAGCGCAAAATAGCGGGGAAGGCGATGTTCCTTTTCAGGCTGTTTCTCTTAATTTTTTCTTCACCGTTGCACCCTCACCGTCTTTTCCTTTCATCTCCATCGGAGATTAACTTGTTCGTGCTAATCCACTTTCAAATGAGGTCACACATTACATATATCTGCTTTGTTTGTGGCAAACGTATAGTAGCTGCACCTTGACGGGTCTGTCTGCATCAGGCATTTTATAACGAAGAACCAACAGTGCTAAGGCCGCAAGTGTATAAGCGACCCAACATGTGGTTTGAGCTGCGTTGATAAGCACGAAAACATTTGAGGACAGAAAAATATACAGAATTGATATAAAGCCCTGAAAGCCGATGATTACACTCAAAACGCAAAAGCAAATATTATTCTGGGAAAATGTACCACAACACTCTGTAGAGCTAAAGTGGTCAATGCTCGTTCCAAAGCGTGCGGAAAACCCCGTCGTGATTGAACCGGGCGCTAGAACAGCCAATCACACGCATCCCAGCTTTGACTACCTTGACCGCAAGCATTTAAAGGATTTCGCGACATCTACATATGAATTATGAAATACGTGGTCCTTTTTCGGTCCCGGCCACGTACGATTTTTGCCAATGAGGTGTATTTTGCAACGGTTTTCGTTTATAGTCTAACTTTTTGGTGCTAACTTAGTTGGGGGGGGGGGGGCCACGCGGCGGCGCGGCAGTCTGCTCGCCTGGCATGTTCGGAAATCCGTGGGCCAGGGGGAGTGTAGGCAGTCTAGGGGGTGGGGGTGGGGGCAGTCACTTGACATGCGTGAAAAGCTGGAATGTTCGAGTTTACACTGTCTCGCTCGAGAGAGCCCAGGTGAGCAGACTGCCGCGCCGCCGCGTGCCCCCCCCCCAACTAAGTTAGCACCCTTTTGTAAATTCCCGATGTCTGACCAGAATCTTCTGCTTGTCACTTTCAGAAAAGATATCATGGTCCCATTTGTTCAATTTGAAGTACTCACCATAAAAATTATTGCTGGGTATAGGAGTACGAAGCCAACTGTTAGTCATTGCCAGGAATACTGGCATTTGACCTTCCCGAGCTCCACAGTAGAATAGCCTATGAAACAGTGCAGCTGCTCTCGAGGCAAGGCTAGAAAAGCACAACGAACTTGTACCGTACCTGGAGCTCATCATAATAGTGCCATTTGCAGATCCGAACGTTGATATAGCGACAAACAGTGACATTATGAAAGAAAAGTTGCCGTAGACTTTGTGTGCGAATACCTAGAGTAGAGTAGAAAAGATAGAAAGCATTGTCCTGAGAATGCTTGTGGTATCTGGCGAGTGTGAAACCTCCCAGTGAGAGAGCGGTCATGAATCACCACTCTTACTTTCAAACATTCTATGAGGCTTGCCCCACATTACACACTAAATTGTCACAGTCTCTTCGCAGCTGTCGCGAAACCTTTGAGGAGGGGGATAGGGATAGATGGGTGGGTCCTACTCCCCAGACGCCCTCCAGGTCGCCAATCCCAGGCCAACCGAGGGTCTACTAAGAAGGGTTTTTTTCCCCTGATCCCGAGCGGCTCACTTTACGTTCCAATGTCCGTGCTGCTTTCCCGCAGAACGGTGCTGCTACCCGAGTCATCTACACACCAGCGATACAAGCGATCATGACCTTCAAATACAAGCGGATGGTATAGCACTACGAGTCAGGCCCTTGCCTAGTGCTCCCATACCACTAATCCCAACAGAACCATTACACAATAGAAAAACTAAGATTTATTTAGGCTTCCGTCCAAAACAAGAAGTTCCTGAAGTCTGTCGGAGGCGGAACTGGTCATGCTCCCGGATGGTAGTCGCAGTAATCCTACGGCACTCTGCCTCTCTCTCTCGAATCGAATGAGGTCCCAACAACCGATCACACCCTCGGGGAGAGTGACGCTTAACATATTCACTATCGTGGATTCAGCAACCAGATGAGGGTTAAGGGATGCTGCTCGTGCTTGTTCGTAAGGCGTGGGACACGCAGGGAGAGGGACGCACGGTCCGCTGGCATCTGCGGTGCGCTAAATGCACAGGCCTTAGTGTGCTCGCCCTAGGCCCTCCTGGCGCCTGTAGCTTGCAGGCTTGCCCTCACGGAGAGGGGGCTATGTCTCGCTCGGGCAGAGAAAACCCCGTTCAGACTGTGCAACACAGGTTGACCTGGTCACGAGGGCCAACCGAAGTACAAGCTGGTGGTAACCGTCAGAATATCACAAAAACGTACCTCAGAAGCAGCTGCATGTAGAATCAATTCATCAGGAGAGAGAACAACATACAAGGCAATATTGTAGAAAACATAGACAAAGGTAATTATAATCATCGAAATCATAATTGCGAGAGGTAAGGTTCTGACAATGGGAAACTGTGAGTACATACGGTGAAGGTACAGGTTCAGCAGAACGAAAAGTATTGAAGGGTCTCATCCAGTAAGGGGGGGCATAGCGATCTAGAGCATTTCAAACCATGGAAAGCACATTATTTTATTGTAGACGTTCAGGACTAAGCCCTAGAAGGGAAGGAGCCCCCGGTCCGTGAGCAATCTTGGTTTTCCCGGGGGACTTCCTCCCCCTCCTAGGCTTAGTCCTGACCTGCTGACTAGGTGAATATTACTTTTCGTAGACGTTAATGTCATCTAGTACAAGAATACATACATTTACACAAAACACCTGAAGAAATAACATAGGAAAAAAGCTGATAGCAGCTCGTAACTTTAAAGGACTCCTTGAGCCAAATTGGCATTAGAGCAGACCGTGCACCGCAATGCCCCCTCTTACCGGATGAGACCCGTATTGAATTTGAATAAGTTTACGTTGGAACTAATAGGAAATAAACCTTTTTGGATCAATGATCTCCTCTGTGACGGTGTTCAGATACGCCCATCCTTGATAAGCGAATGCTCCGGAGTAGAATGCAATCGCGGCAGACCCAAACGTTCGAAAGTTGCCTTCGAAGAGATGGTCAAAGGAGTCCCAATATTGTGAACCTCCTGCAACGAACCTCGGTTGCCATGCATCAAAACGGAGTTTACGATGAAAAGGCAGTACATTGGAGCTAAAGGTAGAGGTGATAGTGGTGCATACATGAAGAAAAAACCATGTGAAACGACCCAGAACCCCAAGAAATGTAAGCCCTTTTTTTGCACGTTGGTTTCATTGATCGCATTGATGCGACTCTCAGTGGTGCTATCCTCTTAAACGCTGAGCTTCCTCTGGTGTCTAATCACTTGCCACGCTATAGACCCGCGCTAAACAGTTGAAGCAGGGTCAACCGTTTACGTTGGAGCGACATTTCAACCGACGTTGGACCGACATTGGACCGACGTTGGACCGACGTTGACCGCTCTCCGCGCCGGCATTCGCACTCGCCTTGCGCGAGCCGTCTGTGTCTCCGTGCGTACGTTCACTCTCGGCATTACTCTCACACGCTAGAGAGCCATGCGTTGGACTTTGTCCAACGGACGGTTGACCCTGCTAGAGTAGTCCTTGACAGGGTGGGCGGACAGCCGCTCACCCACCCTGTCAAGGTCTACTCTAGTAGTCTACTCTAGCTATTCTCGACGCGAGGTTTTTTTCCCTCCCCGCGACTAATATCATCTCTTACTTCACTGTCTGTCTCTGAGACTTCTCCGCAGCTTAGACCGAGGAGGTTCGCATTTTTCTGTGTTCTTCACAATATTTCTTCCTTTTTTCTCCATTTGTGATTCATTCGCATTCCTGCTCTCTTATTCTTTGGGATCAGCACATCAAATTGTTCTTGACCCTCGTTTTTGAGAAGGAACAAAAGTTACCCTCGGATATTAGCCCGAGCTATTTTTTTGCCGCACTCAGAAGTTCAAAATTGACAACGAGTAATGTTTTTAGTGGTCCCTATGACGTTTTGACATCTCCACCCACAATCGTGAATCATACTCCTTAGTTTGTGTATTAGAGCAATTCCTTCTACCAAGATGGGGTGTCCCCCAAGAGGCCCGTCGCGCGGCGAAGGAAGAGACGCAGACGCGGCAAAGGACGAGTCGCAGCGCATACTGTAGCGGTTAGGCGTCAGGTTAAATAGAGTGTACCATACTACGTCTCATATCGCACAGCACGCGCTGCGACTCGTCCTTTGCCGCGTCTTCCTTCGCCGCGCGACGGGCCCTTGGGACACCCACCAAGATGTGCATAATCAAAGGAATGAAGCGAATACTAAACGGCAGGAAACGAACAAAGGCATATACTGCCGCAGTGAAGAGAGGGAGAGGGAGAGAACAGAGAGTAGGGGATGTACGTGAAACTTTTGCCGTACCGAAAATCAAAAGAAAATCTCCTGTCACGATAACCATAAGTAGGGCAAGCACCTTGGTGACAGTGAACCAATCTTGGAGTTTCCTTACAGCGTTCACAGAATAGCAGTTGATCCCGCTAAGCGACACTGAAAAGAACGAGGAACTATACAAAATTTAGACGACATCCGCTGCGTTCAAAAGCAAGCAATCAGAGACAATTGCTTTGTGCAGTTTCCAAGGAGGGAACCGTGCTTTGAAAATTGGGGAAGGGGGGGGGGGTGTCATATTAGGATTCGGTGAAGGTCAGATGGATTAACAAAGGAGAGGGGAGTTCTGGAAGCCGGATGGATTGTGTGGCGGGGAGAGGGGTCGTTGTTGGCGGATTCAGTGGAAAATTGGGAAGAAAGCACTGCAATCAAATCAAAAGGAATTCTTGCTTCATTTGGTCGCAATACTATCGCTCCCCCCCCCCCCCTCCCCCCAGCCTCCAACAGCCGTCTTAGGTGAAAAAGGGGAGTTGCTTGCGTCGATATCTGCATCCCCAAATCAACTCCTCTGAAGCAGCCTTACACCGGAGGCCCGCTGTCGGGATGAGGACTGGGCTCGCATTCGGACCCTGAGCTGATGGCTGGTGTGAAAGTTGCATTGGATACCCTCTAAAGGGAAGGTCGTTTTTTTTTCTGGAAATTTAGACGGGCGGTTGACCGTGTGTACGATGTTTGCAGGTGAGTAAGAAATAACAAGATCGTATTTCTTTCAGCGACGCATTTCGGCTTAAGATTGAAAATGTCCTACTTATCATGACTATAGCCAAAAGTTCCACAACTCCATCAGGTGGATCGCAATCTGGATAGAACGGCCGGATTATGTAGAGTGCAAACGTGAGAGATTTCACCGTTACAGCAACTGGTCTGAATTCAGAAGAATTTTCCAAGAAATCCAAACTTTTCTCAGCCCGCAAGGGTGAACAAACTAAACTCATGGTCAGCCGCCTCGTGCACCACCTTTCCGAGTTGCTGAACACAGGTTTGGTTTATCCCTCGTTCTGAGCTGAGCTGGACTTAAAGGCACGAGTCGGATTGAATTGATGCGTTATTTTGTTCAAACATTAGGCAAGGGGTGCAATGAGGAACATTAGTGAGGAGAAAAAGCAAAAAGCACCATAGAAAACACTAAATTTCCCTTAGGAGGCCGGCCGTAGTACGACGGAGAGACACAGCGCTGCGAGGAGAGGGAGAACGCGAGATAGTACGTCATACGTGAGAGACGCAGAGACCACGTATGCCGTGGTGGATTACGCTGGCAGCGGGCAAGGCCTTAGCGCCATTGCCGCGCACTTTTGGGTCGCGATAGTGTCGCGCCCTCAGTGCTTGGGGAGCCCACTATCGCACCCTGGGAAGAACTTCTGCTGGTTGCCTAATCCTGACTCGTGGCTTTAATTCTGCGGAACGCTCAGCTCCATCGTGTTTTCAGTTCTGATATACACCCACAACTTCATTCAGCTCACCTTATTATAAGGCTTTTCGATCCAAAGACGAATGAAAGCAAGGAATGGCCCAAACGCCTCCATTATGTAAGCGTAGTCTGCTCCGGACCTTGTGATCAGAACTCCCAATTCCGCATAGATATAAGCTCCCAATCCGCACCAAAATCCGCACAATATCCAGATAATTATCGATGCTCCCACGGAACCAGCCGCTGAAAAGCGTTCATTGAAAATTACCAAGAAAACCATCCTTTTGTCTGCTGTTTAGGTGGGATTTCGGAGAACCTGTTGCTTTGCTGTTAAATTGACGTTGGGAGGGGACCACCGCGGCACGCGGCCTTTCTCATGGGTTACCTGCTGCGCGAAAAGTGGCGCGCACCGCGGCGGCGACTGAGTCTGGTATGAATCCGGGGTATATAAGGAGTATCGATGGACTGTAAGAGGTTAGCTAACTTCCCGTTTTTGTAGATGACTGTCTGAAGCCTCTCTGGATCTCTGTTTTCAGTTGTAGCCGGGAGCCGCATGGGCACTCTGGTTCTAATGATAGTCAAGAGTTGGCAATATGTAGTACTTCCTTCGATACCGTAACCTGAGCCACTCCCATTCACAGTGGATCGTTGAACCCGACATACAAGCGCAGCTGGAATCTTACCAAAACGGAACTGTGAGGAAGCGAAAATCGTTGATAAGATATGCGAGAATTCTTACTAATCATTGCCAAGAGTTCACCAGAAAGGTAGCGGTGGTATGCTTGTAAAGGCACACGCTTAAGCAATTTCCAGAGATGGGGATCGTACATACGACTAGGGAATTGCTCAGCGGGCAGAGCAAAAAATCAATAGGTATCCTTTTCTTATCGACTAGTCGCCTACTCGCCTGCTCGACTGATACGTATACTTTCTTTTCGAATCATCACCTGATTGCCTAATCGCAAGTAGGATCGCCAACTCTGAACGCTGTCTTGCGAAGGTAGGACGTTGTGACAGAATGTTAGGCCGCGTTCATAGTTCGCGACTCCGGAGATTAGGATAGTACGCGACAATGAAAAACATATGTATTGACGGGGAGATTAGGATAGTAGTAGATTAGGATAGTAGTAGAGTAGGAGATTGCGCTGACAAGATTAGATACGTATCGATTGAAATCGCTGGAGAGTAGTAGATTGCGATATTACGATAGTAGGATAGTAGTAGAGTAGGAGATTAGGATAGTAGTAGATTAGGATAGTGCGCTGACAAGATTAGATATGTATTGATCTATTCGCTTGAAGTCGCCCAATCTACTACTCTCCAGCGATTTCAATCGATACGTATCCAATCTTGTCAGCGCAATCTCCTACTCTACTACTATCCTAATATCCTGTCGCCTACTATCCTAATCTCCCGAGTCGCGAACTATGAACGCGGCCTTAGAATGAGGTGAAGACGAGCTCACATTGTTGCACTCCGGTAGGACTCACAAATATCCCGGATCCAATCACGCCACCAACGACCATTGATACGCAATTTGTAAGCGTAAGTGTTCTAGCCAAAGCTTCATCTCCCTCCTAAACAAGATAATGGCTAGAGATACGAGATTCTCCCACACAAAGGACAAATTTTTAGTTGTTGTCGTACCTCCTCTTCTAGGGCAGTATCGCCATCGATCGTCTTCTCGTCTTGCCGCTCTTCCGCTGCTTTATCATCGACCTCAAACGCCCTCACCTTGCTTGCCACTCAATGGCTTTTATAGAACCTGATGGACTCAAGTCACCACGATCTCCGCTTTGGGGAGAAGGCGACTCTTTACTTTGACTCTTTGCACCGACATTGCCCCCAGGGATGTCTGGATCTGAACTGCTCATCTGAAAGACTGAAACACTACATATTAGCCAGAGGTCTCCCTGCGGCACTCATGTCCTTAGGGGGGGACATTCAGAGCAGAGCATTCAAAAACCGCTGGTAGGTGACACTAGGACTAAGCCCAGGACTGGGAATAAATACAAGAGAGAACGATGGTTGCTCTCAAAATCCCATCCCCTCCCTAAAGCTTAGTCCCAAGTTCTATCAGTGGCCCACTCATTTCAATGTCCCCCCCCTAAACGACATGAGCGCCTATCCACCTATAAACCTCGTATTCCGAGGTGTGACCATAATCAAATGGAAGCAATGTAAAAACAATGATTGCTTATGTCCGATCTTGTGAATTTCACTGATCTGAGCTTATCATCATCAACTGATAACGACAACAATGGATTATTCATCTTTATGATCTCCATTACAGATTATTCTACCACTACTCTTTACTATTATATTTGCAGCCTGTTCACAGCGAAAACCATAATCAGGGATAGTCAGGAACAATTTCGTTCTCTTCTCCATATGTGGGGTACCCGACAGGAGGCCCGTCGCGCGACAAGATAGCAGAGTCCGCGGACGAGCGTTTGCGCGATCGTGTGAGTGGGGCCAGAATTGGTAAGAAACTCGCAGACCTTAAAAGTTGAAATGCAACACTAATCCAAATACGGCTCGCGGAATTGGTGAAAAATATAGATAGTAGGTAACTCGAAAAGTATCATACTTGCGATGTCCTTTGCTTCAGTGCGTCTTGCACATATTTTGGATATTTACCGTTTCCTTGACTTTCGCAAAGGATCAACTCTGTCAGTATTCCTTCGCGCACATAGGACCTCAACTCATCCCTGGAAAAACTATATCATTCTCTGTTCAAATAGATGCTCGAGAAAGATTGACAGCTATGGAATAAAGGAAATCAGCTAGAACCCACATGTACAGCGCATCCTTCTCCATATTTCTACAACCAAAATATAGATATCGCTGCACGGCTGGGAAGTTTTCAGGATCGTTCAGCTTCACGTTCCTGAAAGGAATAAGGGCATCAGTTGAAAAGCACATCCAAAACATCTGCGTGCTAATGCACCGAAGAACGATACCCACAAAAGGTGTTGGCAGAAAGCCAAGAACACTGCCACTCCTGTGCCAGGTCCAACCATCAAGAGGGGCATATCTTTGGCACACGAAGAAGGCAGAGATAGCGGTGGAAGGCGGAAACGTGCTGGTTCTTTATGCATTATCTGAAGAAACGAAACCCTTCGTTGCAAAATCGATGGATTGAAAAAGAAAGAGAATAATTTCAGATATAACTAACATCGCCATGGCGTTACGAAGGTACAAGAAAACGAAAGGAGAAGGTAAATATTACTAAAGCACTAAAATATTAGAATAACCCAAACCTGTACTGTGTCATCCACTTTTAGTCCAAGCAGGAATTCCGTTGCCAAACCCGTCCGAGGGTATCTGGAGAAAAAGATTTTATGAAATTCCCTACCTAAGCAGACTGCTCCAAAAACTGCTTCGAAAAGAAATAATGGCAATGTGAGAACTATACATAGATCAAATATAATAGATGCAACGGTAAAGAAACCCAACGAACCTCCTCCCATCCTCCGCTGTGAAATTCATTACGGAATAAACAAATCGAACACGTCGTCCACGACATGAAGACACACTGTAGGATCTGGGAATCAGACGTGGAAGAAGTTCTGAAAAGAAGAGCATGAGTACAAAGAACGCAAAAGAGTAAATATCCTTCAAAAAAAAAAGGTATTCTCCTACCTATAAGACGGTCCGCGGAAGGGCGTACACTCGGGAATGCGAATAAAATG